ATCCCCCTAACTTCACCCCAATCAGGAGCTGTATGTAGGATACGTGCGCGCATCTGTTTTCAGTGCAGCTAACCACATGTTGCTTCATGTCATCAACTATGACAGGTGAGTTACTGCAAAAAAACAGTCATTGCGACACTGTAAAGTGATGAAACAATGGTACCATGTGCATTTTAAAACCATTTTCATAGGTTTAACATTATATTATCAGCTCAGAAAATACATTAATTTGACTAGAAACACCAGAAGACAGGAAATGTAAAGCATAGTTCCAGTCACGCGAGACTTCCACATTCAGGAAAAAAGTGGATATTATTTTTATTTATTGTTCTTTTTTATTTTTAATTACTATTACAATAGTAATATTTCTTATTTTAATATTTTATTTTGATTTAATAACAGTCATTATTATTCTTTTAGTTTTAAAAAGTAAAAAAAAAAATCCATCACAATTGTTATCGCAGTTAGGTTCCCTTTCGAATGGGAACTCTATGGTGCGTCCTCTAGAGGGCGCTTTGGGGAATGTCTTTCTGATCAGTCAACTGATACAGTGGGTATAGAAAAAAATACCCCCCCCCCTTTAATGTAATCACAGTCTGAAATGAAGACAGACTCAGTTTTATACTGCTGTATTTACTCAGTGCAACTTATAACATCCAAGTGAAAGATACACCAACATATATAAAAGTATATATATAATTATTAGCCAGCCATCAGAAATTAAGCTTTAGCGTTAGTTCTGGCAGGTCACGTGAGTCAAGCTTGCATCAGCTGATTCTCAGCTGATCACATCTACCTATAGGAATACGACACCTATCGCGGCATTCCTATATAAGCTGTATTCAGTATTATTCAGCAGCTTTTTAGCTTGCTTCGGAGCAAATTACCCTCCTCCATCCCCAGCTCCACCTTTCGCCACAGTCAGGACTTAGCTTTCTGATATTCCTTGCTAATCAGACTCCTTTATCTTGAATAAAGTGTTACACTTAAATATCATTGAGTACATTAATGATATCTGCATTGTTCTGTTCTGTTAACCCTAGGGGGGTTATTATTGCTGCTCTCCCTGCTCATTCATGACAGGCTGCATGGATGGGCAGGGAGGTTTTTTGCCCAGAACAGAACCATACCGCCAAACCAAACTTTATGCTAAGTATCTATCATTCTGACGATAGTGGTCCTGACAGAAATTAAGCTTTAGCGTTAGTTCTGGCAGGTCACGTGAGTCAAGCTTGCATCAGCTGATTCTCAGCTGATCACATCTACCTATAGGAATACGACACCTATCGCGGCATTCCTATATAAGCTGTATTCAGTATTATTCAGCAGCTTTTTAGCTTGCTTCGGAGCAAATTACCCTCCTCCATCCCCAGCTCCACCTTTCGCCACAGTCAGGACTTAGCTTTCTGATATTCCTTGCTAATCAGACTCCTTTATCTTGAATAAAGTGTTACACTTAAATATCATTGAGTACATTAATGATATCTGCATTGTTCTGTTCTGTTAACCCTAGGGGGGTTATTATTGCTGCTCTCCCTGCTCATTCATGACAGGCTGCATGGATGGGCAGGGAGGTTTTTTGCCCAGAACAGAACCATACCGCCAAACCAAACTTTATGCTAAGTATCTATCATTCTGACGATAGTGGTCCTGACAGAATATCTATTTCGGTCCAGCACTAGCTTGAACAATCTGTTCTAAACATCTCCTTTTGTATTTTACGAAAGAAAGAAGGTCATACAATCTCAATAGACATGAGGATTCAATGATGGCAGAATTTAAATGTATACATGAACTATCCCTTTAAATCCCATGGTGCTTTTCAACCAAATGTAGAATGTTAATTTCATTTGTCAGATTGATATATCACGGTGTTTAGTAACGGATTTGAATCACATAAAATCAAAGTGCTTAAAAGTTCTGCAGCGGCAGTGCTGTATCTTTTGTCTAGTGCCAGTCATTCCCAGATGATCCACAACTTCCTGTTTGTGTGAGACGGGGAGAATCATAACTTCTGGTTGCACTCTCTCCACTATCATCTTCTCCTCTCCTTCCCCTTATCACCTCTTCTATTCCCTTTTCTCCCGAGGGAGCGAGCGAGGTGCGTGGGAGAAGTGAGGTCAGGGCCTGTTGGGCTGTGTAATGCTCCTCATAACAGTTGACTCAAGCGTGTGAGAGTCTGTATGGATGAAACTCGTCTCTCGCTGGATCTGCTCTCAAGTCTCCGAGATTCTGCCAGTTGTCCTGAGGTGTAATTGTTTTACATTCTCTTCAGGACTGGAAATGTGTTTAAGCTCATCTCTTGGTGTCACATTCTTCATTCCCGCAGCCGGCGCTGTATGAGAAGTGTGTGAGATTAATTACACACTGATTTATTTATCTTGTTCTCTGCAGAGCATAACCAGAGGAGACAGTATTGATATTTTATTATTGTGTTAATAAAGGTCAGCCGCTATTGACTTCTCATTAATTGAGCCGAACTGGACAATATTAACGAGAAGACGCAGGTTTTAATGACTCTCAGTGTGTGTCCGCAGTACTCTGCGGTTCTTTAAATGCCATAAAACCATGAGAGCTCCTCTGAGGAGTCCCTGACCTGCCTCTTAAATACAGCTACCTGAGGGAGAGTGAAATATGGATGGGTAGACAGAAAGATTATGAAAGAAATACTCTGAAAGACCTGTCCAGTCAGTCAGTTAATTAACAAAAAGTTGAATGAAGGTTCCCACTAAGGAAACTGGTATCAAACAGGCTTCCAGGCATCATAAGGTCACGTCCATTGAGCTAAAACAATTTCAAGTGAGCTTTAGAAGTAACCAAAATTGAATTGAAAAAAATGAATATTTATGAATTAATTTACTTTAAAACTTCCACCAACAGCTGTGGGAATATCATAGATAGAGAAAGATAAATGCTATGCTGCCCTCAACAGACTAAATTAATGCATCTTAGTAGACGGTGATTTCGTACATGCCTCGATGCCTTCCTTCTTCCTTGTACTGTATATGAAATCTTTTTTTATTCCCTATTGAGCTCTCTACTAAGGCATTTTAACTAAAATCATAGATGACTGATTTGTAACTCTCTATGGTGCACCCACTCCATGTGTTATATAAATAGTGCTTAATCTTTTTTCATATTGATTGTACTTTATACTATATATATACACGACCGTTCAAAAGTTTAAGGTAAGTTATTTTTTAAAGTGCCCCTATTATGCCATTGTTAAGGTTCCTAATATTGTTTTGGGAGTCTCCTACAATTTACATGCATGCAAGGTCAAAAAACACTTTCGTTTTTTCAAAATATGCATTTAATATCACCTCATTTTCCAAAGATTCTCAAACGATTCATTCAAAGCAGTTCTAAGATTCAGTCTTTCTAAACCCCTCTTTCCGTGAGCCTACTCTGCTCTGGTTGGTCAGATGGCCCAGTCTGTTGTTATTAATACCAAGTACAGCGCATATTGGAAATGATTCGCCAATTGCCATTGTTCTATATTTTGAACGCTCAATAGAAAATATAAACATCTATTAGTTATCATACTTTACAGGTTGTGATTCAGTGGAGCCAGCTGGTCCAAATAAACTGGGTACTGAGCCATCTTTCAAGAGCAAGCATTTTGTGAATCACGCGCTCCCCGAGATTAGAGAAGCAATCGTCAGTAAAATACATGAACACAAAAAGATTGGGGTTGTACTGCTGTGATACGGTGGGAAAAAATGAATTTTAACCACTGATTCTTTGCAGCCTCATCTTTTGGAAGTGAAAATAAAATGAATTTACTTTCCCCAGCGTAGGACACAGCGTCTTCTCGACATGATGTTAACCACATGAACAAGCTGCAGTGTTTGAGGGCGGGTCAAGTTGTTCGTGGCCGGCCAACGTAGAACATAGACGGGCATTATGCAAATGTGTTACCCCGCAACGTGTTGCCATCATGGAATTGGGACTTGAATTACTGACGACTCGTTTAGGCTGTTCAGAGTCGATTCTTTCTTTTGGGAGACAATAACTTTATTTATCGTGCACTTTCGGCTTCACAACTTTGCAGATTGTTTACATTCACACACAGCTACATTACACACTGCATGAAAGGCAAGATTCGAAATGGCATAATAGGGGCACTTTAAGAAATTAATATTCAACAAAGATGCATTAAATTGATTAAAAGTGGCAATAAAAACATTTATAATGTTACAAAAGATTTCTATTTCATATAAATTCTGTTTGTTTTGAATTTCCTATTCATCAAAGAACCCTGAAAAAAATACTTTAGGGTAACACAAAAAATTTAAGCAGCGCAACATTTTCAACATTGATAATAAGAAATGTTTCTTCATTTCATATAAATTCTGTTTGTTTTGAATTTCCTATTCATCAAAGAACCCTGAAAAAAATATTTAGGGTAACACAAAAAATTTAAGCAGCGCAACATTTTCAACATTGATAATAAGAAATGTTTCTTGAGCAGCAAATCAGCATATTAGAACTGTTTTCAACATTGCTAATAATAAGAAATGTTTCTTGAACAGCAAGTCAGTATATAAAATTATTTCTGAAGGATCATGTGACACTCAAGACTGGAGTAATGACTGCTGAAAATTCAGCCATCACAAGAATAAATAATACTTTAAAATATATTTAAATAGACTTATTGTAATAATATTTCTTAATGTTACAGTATTTTTTACAATGTTTTAGTCAAATAAAAAATATATTATCTATAATATATGAAATATATAGTGAGATAAATATAAATTTATTTCAGTCTACCATGGGATTACCATCTGATATCATTTCTCTGCAGTCTTTCCCAGAAGTGAAATTAAATAACAACATTTTTGTGGTTGTCCTCAGGAAAAAGGGGAAAAAAGCAGATTTTTTTTATTATTATTGTTTTAATTCCAAAACTGCATAAAATCTGTGGTAAGTCCTTATTTACATGTGATGTGTGTCCTTTCAGTTGATTAAAATGGACATGTTCTGTGTTGTTTCAGAAAGTGTCTCAGTACGCCATCATAGTTCAGGCCACCGATATGGAGGGCAGCCTGAGCTTCGGCCTGTCCAACACCGCCACGGCCCTCATTAGCATTGCTGACATCAACGACAACCCTCCAGAGCTGGACTCTAAAACAGTGAGTACTAGAATTTTTATATAATTGTAAAAAAAATTCCCTTGTGAAGGATACACGCATGCACGAAGTTGGCTTTACAGAAGGCTATACATAATTAACATAATTATGCTGCCTACGTAGGCAGTCCTAAGCCAGAGTCAGAGAGGCATTTCTCATGTTTAGTTATGGTTAAGTTGATGTCCCATGGGCAGTCATCTGCTAAAACAAAAGGAAGCCATCAAAGTAAATCCATCAAGATCTACAGCAAGCTCTTGTGAGGGTATTCATTGCTTCACAGCAGTAGTCAGCCACCTCCCTCCAAGACACCCGTCCCCCAGACCAGTCTCAGTGGAACACTGACTTGTCCTTGACTCCCCCCACTTCCTGTCTACAGCAACAGAAGGCCAGATTAATACGGCTGGAGCTGAAAGAGGCAGAGGAGAGGCTTTGGCTCAGGTTCAGCTCTCTGTCTCCTCCCAGTGTGGACTAACTGGAGTCAGATTCACCCGAGCATGGACGGGGGCACAGTTTCAGATCTGTGCCCAAAGGAATGTTGGCTATGCAACAACAAACACTTCGATGTGTGTGTGCGCACATGTTTCTATCCATCTGTTGCCCTCGCAACCCTTGCTTTTCATCCGTGGTTACAAACAGGCTGGTTCATGTCCGTTGATGAAGAGTTATTTTTGCACACTGATTATCTGTGTGTATGCATGTGGGTGTGTGTCTTTCCATAAATATTGAGTGACAAAGTATCAAAGCAAAACAGAGCTCACTGTAGCCTCTTGTCCTAATTAACAGAAAAGCTTACATACAAGCAGACAGACAGGCAGACATATCCCCAGACAAACACAAAGAGCCGCCATTTCCCAAATATGCACAGTCTCAAAGTCTGTGTAAGACAGCTTTGTTCAGGCTTAGATGCCAAACTTCTAGACCGCTCGGCTGTTCCATCACATAAAATGGATGAATAAGGTTTCTAGTCATACTTTAGGGACAACACTAACAAAAAGTGCCATGGTATTACCATGGTTTCCTGAATCTATTTTCTATGGTAATATGTTTTCATGTTCTTTGGACATGTACCATGTTTTTATGGACATATACCATGGTACTTTGGAGCAGTGTTGTTATTGTTAACAGAACCTAAGACTATTAAAATTAGTTTTCGTTCATTGAAATAAAGCTGAAATAAAAGAAATATATAAATGTCAGATATAATAAATTAAAACTATATATAAATATAAAAAATATATAAATAAAAATGACAAAATTACTAAAATGAAAACTGAAAATATAAAAATAAAAGCTATTTCAAAATATTATTAAATACTGTAAAAGTATATAAATAATGCTAAAATAACACTGATTTGGAGTATAGTATATATTCAACTTTATTTCCAGACTCAAAATCCATTAGCAAAGCAATAAAATAGACAGTACAACATACAAAACAGTACAATACACTTAAAATAGAAATTGTATATTAATTGTATATTTGAAATAACATAGTAATCATTCAGTAACAATTTCAGTCTACCATGGGATTACCATCTGATATCATTTCTCTGCAGTCTTTCCCAGAAGTGAAATTAAATATAACAACATTTTTGTGGTTGTCCTCAGGAAAAAGGGGAAAAAAGCAGATTTTTTTTATTATTATTGTTTTAATTCCAAAACTGCATAAAATCTGTGGCAAGTCCTTATTTACATATGTGATGTGTGTCCTTTCAGTTGATTAAAATGGACATGTTCTGTGTTGTTTCAGAAAGTGTCTCAGTACGCCATCATAGTTCAGGCCACCGATATGGAGGGCAGCCTGAGCTTCGGCCTGTCCAACACCGCCACGGCCCTCATTAGCATTGCTGACATCAACGACAACCCTCCAGAGCTGGACTCTAAAACAGTGAGTACCCTACAACTTACACAGAGAGCACATACCATGAAATTAAAAGCGATGATTGTAAATAAACTATATTTCATTCAGTACTGAAAAGTGACTTTTAAAAATATAGTTGAATTGAGTAAAAAAAAAAGTCTAATAGATATGACCATAATTCCCTAGTTGATTGATTACATTAACAATTGCAAACATTTTTGTATTACAAGTTTTCTGAAATAGTATGTTTAAATATGCAAATTAGGTGATATCTACTTAAATATGCACTAATTTGCATACTTTCCAGAACTGAAATCTGAACACTGGATAAAGCCAGATTCCAGATTCTTGTTTCTGTTTGTCGACGGATGAGAGTCAAATGAGTAAGTGTCTGAAATTCGTCACTACGTGCTTTGCTGGTTAAACGCAGACAAACATTTCATTAAAGTAAAGCTTTAAAGCTGAGAATATGAATGTCGGAATCAACTTCTCATCGACGTTTTATGGAATTGGGCTTGTGCTTCTTCCAGTTGCATGCTTGTGACAGACGCACATACGGACCATTTTTTGAGCAGAATTCATGAGTTATGTGCTAGAACTAATTTGTTTAGTTTTTTTATCCTCCTCTCTCTCTCTCTCTCTCTCTCTCTCTCTCTCTCTCTCTCTTTCTCTCTCTTTCTCTCTCTTTCTCTCTCTTTCTCTCTCTCTCTCTCTTATTTATATATATATATTCACCCACACAGACTGAGTCAAGCAGGGTAGAAATGTTCTGTGATTATATGCATTTGACAGAGGCATGAAGCAGTATACATCTTGCTGTAGGAGACCCTCAGAAACGTAAGCAAGCTAATTAAGCGAAATTGCTTGAGGGGGTGTAAACCTAGTATATATATCGCTTCCAATTTGAAGACAGCCACATGTTTTATTCATGTAAAAACTGCATGAATATGGAAAGAGTAAAGCAAAATAGTACTGCGTTTAAGATATAACTGATCACTCTTTTACTACTGTAAGTCAGAATAACTTTGTAAGTTGAAAGAAAGTTAAACTCAGCAAAATGAGCTTTTGGGCTTTTGTGATTATTTATTTAAATAAAAATAAAATTTAAAAATGTCAACAAACCAAAAACCTTTATGTTTGATATGATTGATTTTTATTTGTTTATTTATTTATTTATTTTAGTTTCTAGACTGAGCTGTTTACAAACATTCAACTGTAAACTCTTGACTGAAGTGATATAAAAAAAATGAATACTGGGCAACACACTCAGCCTATCATTAATTATGAATAGTGTTACTAGTAATGAATATCTTTAGCTCTTCCAACAGCTCTTCTTCTAATTAATTCATTTCTGTCACAGATCATTTCTGTCTTTAAGTACATTCAAATTACCACATCTAATATGGTGCCAATGAGATACTCAAGGTTTTTGTAATGAATGATTTCTTTACATACTGTATATTTATAGAGAATGTGGCTTAAATGTTGCCTTGGTTCCAAAACACCAAGGGAAAATAAGAAATTTAATTTCTTTTTTTTTCTTTGTCTATCCTCTGAACTTCTTCTCACTTAACTTCCCCCCTCAGTAATCCACAAATCATAAACAAGTATCACTTTCCTTCCCTCTTCTTTTTTTACAGTACACACACATGCAGCATGCCTTCACACACACATACACACAATTTCAAAATCTTATTGAACTAGCCTCCAGAGGATTTTTTTCGTCAAACTGGAAGCAGTAGCCTATAGAAAAATGGGACTCTGATTTTGCACAGATCAATCAGTCACTCAATCATGTCTTCTACTGTCCTGTCCTCTACTGGTCTCTTGCATCCCATCCTGGAAGGGACACAGCACATTTGTTTGATCTCAACAGTGTTTTTCTGCTTATCAGTAAATGCAGCTGTGCATCCCAGACAGCGTGCAGCTGGAGAGACAGGACGGCCCTGTGATGTTTTCATCACTATAGCCAGTAGATATTACTCGTTCTGTCGCTGTCTCTCATCATTCTCTCGTTTTGATGATTTTGAACCAATAAACCATGAAAATAAACCATTTATTTTATTTTAAGTATCTGAAGTATGTGTAAGCGTCTTTGCCAGTGTTGGAGGGTTTCTGAGTAAATATAGCGCCGTTAATAATTAAATTTTTCTGAAATTTCACAACACATAAAGAGCTACTTTTTCCAATCAGTGACATTTGTAATTGAGCAAACTCGTACATTAATCAAAGATGTTCATTAGGTTAATTTGGATGACTCAGTTAAATGAACATTCAAAAAAAGTTCCTGAAGAATCACTGTTCAGTAGTCCCTGTGACATTTACATCTAGTTATAGTTCATCGTAGTTTTAACACTGTGTTGTTAGAAGTTTATTTTTTGCATTGGGTGTAAATTTATTTTTAATATGGTAGACATGCATTTTAAGCATAATTTGTTTTTGTTTTTTTAAATGCTGTCTACTTACATAGCTTCAATGTAGTTTATTTTTGTTAGTAGCATGTTGTGTAGCTAACTTCTTTAAAGGGGTCATATGATGTTGCTAAAAAAAAACATTATTTTCTGTATTTGGTGTAATGAAATGTGTTTATGCGGTTTAAGGTAAAAAAAAAACGTGTGACAGAAATGTTTATGCCCCTTACCATACTGTGATGCCCTGTCAGGCCAGGGCGTAACATAAAACCATGTCTGCATTTCTGATCGGAGAAATGACAAACAACAAGCGCTACTCTACACTGCCCAAAACTTGCGTTTGAATCATCAGTGGCAAATTCTTTAAATATAAAAAACGTACTTACAGTCTGTGAATCAGAACAGCCGGCATTGTAGTCTACTCTCCCAGGATCAGGAAACAGTCCTCCATAAAATGTGCTGCACACATCTGAATATTTGGGTTGAACTGTTCTGGATCAGTGTTGTAAATACAACTTAACCACTGATTTCAAGTCGTGTCCTCTTTTGGAAGGCCAAACAAAGTAGTTTCGCTTTCACAACGAAACACAGCGTCACACGCGGCGGCGGCGGCGGCCTAGAGTGAGGAACGGCCGGTGGGCTGAGTGAGCAGAGGCGGTGGATTCGACGAAGGAGCATCCGGAGGGCTTGCCTTCGGCATAAATGTATTTCAGCCTCTTTGGAACTGTTACCCAGCTTTCACAGTCACATGCGGTTCGGTACACCACATTTCTACCCATAGAACAGCTGATCCTCTCATACTCTCCTCGTCAACTACTTTTAACCATTACTCTAGGGTTCACTTCATCTCCTATCTCAAACTTAAGTCACTTTCTGTTCCTCTTCTAACACTTTTGGAGTCTCATTTAGCTTGACAGTGAAGAGTTAGTTTAATGGCTTTACTTGAAATGGGTTTTGCAGTTTCATTGAATGGCTTCATTGAATCATGTTTCCTCTAACAAAAAAAAACAGCCTCTTGCTCATGTTACCAAATCTAAAATCACCTTCCTATTATTGGAGTACAATCAAGTGTTTTTGTGCATATCTGTAGCCGATCGACTATGAGAGGAACAACGCCTTCACGCTGATGGTGGTGGTCTCAAACCAAGCTCACCTGGCCAGCGGGATCCCTTCCTCACCGTCCTCCTCTGCTGCTGTTGCAATCACAGTACTGGATATCAACGAGGCCCCCGTCTTCCCATCCAACCCTAAAATCATCCGTTTTGAAGAGGGAGTGCCTGCTGACACAACCCTCGCTACTTTCGCCGCACTGGATCCAGACCGCTTCATCCAGCAGACTATCAGGTAGAGAGGAAACTGTTCAAACTGAGGAGTCTGTTTGAAACTCAGGATGTCAATCTTTCTGAGCGACCGAAATTTTGTCAATCATTTGTGTTCTTACTCCCTGAAACACACACACAGATCAGTGACAAAAAAATTCAGTTTAGTCCAAAGGTGCCAGGTTATCATCAATGTTCCTTTTAATTTTCAAGTTTTTTTCATACATTTTTGAAAAATATTTATACCATTTCAGCCAAAAAGTCATGTGGTGATTAAATGTCAAGTGGTGTAACCATTAAGTAAAATGTCATACATTTTTCTTATACACTAAATGCACTTGAGCGTATGTATGCTAATCATTATTTATAAATTAATAAAAAAAAAACATTCAAATGTTTCTCTTTTTTTTTTAGTTTATGACCTTGTCACAATGTCAGGAGTCTGCTGTTTTAAATAATAATAATCATAATAATAATAATAATGTTATTATTATGTAGTTTTTTTTCTTTGCTGCAGTTAAAGTTTACACAAAAAAATCTAAATGTATTTTTACTCACATGTTGAATATGTATGTCATAGATGTACAGTTGTGATCAAAACTTTACATACACTTCTCAGTATCTGCAAAATGTTAATTATTTTACCAAAACAAGAGGGATCATACAAAATGTGTGTCATTTTATTTAGTACTGACCTGAATAAGATATTTCACATAAAAGACATTTACATATAGTCCACAAGAGAAAATAATAGTTGAATTTATAAAATGACCCCCTTCAAAAGTGTACATACGCTTGATTCTCAATACTGTGTTGTTAACTGGATAATCCACAGCTGTTTGTTTTTTTGTGATGGTTGTTCATGAGTCCATTGTTTGTCCTGAACAGTTAAACTGCCCGCTGTTCTTCAGAAAAATCCTTCAGGTCCAACAAATTCTTTGGTTTTCCAGCATCTTTTGCGTATTTGAACCCTTTCCAACAATGGCGGTATGATTTTGTGATCAATTTTTTTCACACTGAGGACAACTGAGGGACTTACATGCAACTACTACAAAAAGTTCAAATGCTCACTCACCTCTTATTTTGGTAAAATAATTAACATTTTGCAGATACTGCAAAGTGTATGTAAAATGTTGACCACAACTGTACATTGCAGTCATTCATGTATTTTTTACTAACATATTTAGAATAAGACAAAAAAAGTGTCACATTATTGACCTACATATAAGTGCACAGTTATACACTGCATTGCCTGAAAGCTTACTTTTTCTAATCTTTGTCTCTTAACAACAGTACTGTTACTTAAATGCTTTTAATTCGTTTCAGAGTCTTATTGAATAATCGATTGACTCAGCAATTGCTAATGATCACTTACATAAAGCTCTCATTAACAAGTGACACACGTGAATAGCAAATCAGCCTGATGTCCGCCACATAAAGTCTAGTATATTCTACCCACTCTGTTCACTTTTCAATTTTCTGCTGAATCATACTTGAGTTTTAAAATTCCCATAAATCTATGAGGACTTTATTTGACTGGTGAGTTTAAGAGCCATTTTTATAGAAACCAGGCTTAAAACAAATCCATCACTCTCGGGTGCAGGTCAGCCCCTGACTTTGTAAGCGAACATCAGAAGTACATGCGATTTCCATACTGTGCTGCATGTCAAGTGATGTAGCACATATCGTTCGCACCATTAGCACCCCTGGGAGCAGCTAAATGCTTTTAATTGACTCTCTCCTGTTCTAGTCCCTTGGTTGTGCCTGGGTTGCCAAGCAACAGGGTGAAAGGTCATCGAGTAATGAGCCGAACCATTCCCCACACTGCTGTTTCTATTGTGTCTCTCCCTCTCTCTCTATCAGTTGTTCACGCTTGATCTCTCTCGATTTCTTTTTTTCATGACTCAAAAGTGTGCGGGCAAGATGCCAGCTTGAAGTATTGATCCAAAGTTTGCCTCCGTGCACGTTCACTCACACACTCAGGGGACCTTCACTAGACTTGCTCCATGGATCACTGTGTGCAAGGAACGGTCCGATCAATATAGTCCACACTGTGGCACTCTCGCTCTCCGATTCTATCAGTGTTATAGGCTCAAATAAGTTACAGGGAAGTGCTGAGCAAACAAAAGACCCTGACAAACAAACAAACAAATAGATTCAGTGTGGGCTTGATTATTAGCAGTACTGAAATAATTTGGGTAACACTTTACTTGAAGGGGTGTGCATAAGACTGACATGATACCTTCATAATCATGACATGACACATGTCATGAATATGAAGGTTTTTTATGCATGTTTATGACAACTGTCATTAAGTGTCATTCGCTCAGTTATGTCATTTTTAATGCAAATATGACATTATTTGACCTAACCCTAACCCTACCCTTACCCCTAACCATAGCCCATAACAAAGACACCTCAAACAATGTCATCTTTGCATTAAAAATTACATAACTGAGTGAATGACACTTAATGACAGTTGTCATAAACATGCATAAAAAACCTTCATATTCATGACATGTGTCATGTCATGATTATGTAGGTGTCATGTCATGATTATGAAGGCGTCATGTCAGCCTTATGCACACCCCTTCAAGTAAAGTGTAACCATAATTTGCGATAATAATCAAACACCAATAGCGAATTGATGCATTCTTGCCAAATTTGAGACCTGGTCTGGCAGATAAATAGGCTGTAACTGTTTTTAACTTTAGTGTTTTGGATTAATAGCGCAGAAGCCTGAGATATTACCCAATAATATGTAGAAGAAAGATTATGTGTCACATCTGTGATTTGATTGAGTGTAAATGTTTCCACAGTTTTCTGTGCAGATCCAGTGATCAGAACAGAGCCCATGCTGTGACTGAATGAGGGACATATCTTAATAATCCACATGCTATATCCTCATAACAGACTAAATATGATTTTAACGGCATTTAAATGGATTGATGATCTCAAAGTTCTACATTATTACCCTCAGCCATACTGTTACAGCATAAATTATGATTGAATGTTGAGCTCTATGGCCACGTCTTTCGGATGCTTATGGATTTTTATCCGGAGTAATCTGATGAACGAATGCTTTTGGCCTTCAGGTACTCCAAACTGTCAGATCCAGCCAACTGGCTGAAAATCAACAGGACCAATGGAAGGATCACCACCACAGCGGTGCTGGACCGTGAATCGCCGTATATGAAGAAAAATGTATATGAAGCAACCTTTTTGGCCGTGGACAACGGTAAGAATAGAGGGGGAAAGTTTCAACGAAATCAAAACTTTAAGTGAGTATCGGTGCATTAAAGATGTTGTGTATGAAAAAATGGATTTAAACGATTAGTTAGGTCAATTTGGAGAAAGGTTGGTTTGCTTGAACCTAATTTGTCCCACAGAGCCAAAAAGCTGTTCTCAGCCTATCGATTCATAACCTATCAGGACTGGGGCATTTTTCATTGTTTTCATTGTCTTGCTCTATATTTAACCAAGAAAGTGTTCCAACAAAGCTGCTGTCCAATCACAGTTGATTTGCTTCTCCATGTTTACAGAAACTTTCTTAAATAGAGAGACTACATTATGTTTAGCACAGGGAGTTGCTTCACACCATCAGAACACCTCAGGAGGAGTTGGTATGAATAGGAATGAATGGTTATCTTTGTCACAAGTTAACCCATATTTAATGTAATCTAGGTAGAATTGATTTAACTCATAGTTTTGATCATGGTTTTTGAGGATGAGGGATTGTCTCACCAGTGTTGAGCAAACTAACTTGCAAAACTACAAGCTAATCATATTTTAAAGTAATTGAAGTACAGTCTGTTTTGAATCGTTAGCCATACTACCTGCTACAAACAATTATTTAATCTTTTTGTTGTGTTGTTTATGGAACAAAAATGAGGGGTTTTGAATTAACAGATAATTAGAGTGACTGTATCAAGCTTGAAAAGATTCACACATATTTACATAACTGTGTCAAAAACATAGAACAGTGACTTCAATGTTTGAATCGTTTTTTAATATGCTTATTTACATGGTGTTCAACAAACCAATTCACTAAAATAAATTAGTACCACCTTTAGGACCATCGCATGCTACATGAGAAATTGGACAGTCGAACGAACTGATTCACTAGAATGAATCAGACTTTCAAAAGATGCATCTGAGGAAGAATCATTAAGGGTGAACTGATTCACTAAGATGACTCAGACTTTCCAATGCTACATATTATGAAATAAAACATTTCTACATTACATTTAGGAGTAGTTTATCAATGGTGACTATGTCAAGGTGATGTACAGTTCTAGGATAGTAAGAATCATGCAGTTAGTTAATGACATGCATTCAAACCGAAACGGTGAACATGATTAACAGCAATGATTATATGTTGTGATCAAACTTATAGCATTGTAAGGAAAATGTGGTAGGTTTGTATGCTGGTTCAGGGTTGGCGTCATCAAATGATTTGCTAAAATGACAGACTTTCAAATACTAAATATAAAAATAGAGGGCAGTTTAGGACAAACTAATTGACTATTTATATCTTTCAGTGCTACATATGAGATAAGCACGTTTGATTATATATTTGATTATCAAAAAAAGAGATGTAGTGTTTACATCACTATTTATTTGCATGTTTATTTTTAGTCAAACTCTTTAAAATTAAGAAACTAAAGTTGCTTAACATAGAGTATTGCTTCACAAGCTTCAGGGGAGGTTGGTATGATTAGGAAATTGACCAATCTATCTGCCTGTCTTGGTGATTTTTTCCCCAGAAGCTTTCAAAGGTGTCCGTAGTGGCAGGCCTTGTCAGTCCTATCTGAACAAAGGTATTTTGGCCTAAATCAATATGTCTTTAGGGACTGGCGTTTTGTCTTGCAGTTGATACAGATGCCCAGGGTTGACGGGTTGTATTTTAGACTCATATTGGACCTTCTAATAACAAAATTTGACAGAATCAATCTTTCTAATATCTAGCCTGTTACTCAGTCAGAGCTTTGGGAATGATACCATGCCATGTTTTCCACAAATGCCCCTCACCTGTGATGGCAGATTGTTTGGAGAGCAAGCAGGTATATATCTGGCCTTTGTACAGTGTGTTTTTGTCTTTGATTCACACACAGCCGTAGGGAGCAGATGTGTCTGTTTCTTCAGGCAAAGTTATTACATATATCTGTCCTCTGAGAGAGCCTAGCTCTATTAAAGAGAAAACAGCTTTGTGCAATATTTACGTGCAGTTATCATTTCTTATATCTGACACAATTGAGAGTTTTCAGGACAAATACATGAACTTTACGACCATTACCCCCGACTGTCATTATCCTCTTTCTGTCTCATAGGTTCCCCTCCTGCCACAGGAACCGGTACTCTCCAGATTTATTTGATAGATGTGAATGACAACGTGCCTGTCCTAGTTCCTCAAGAGGCTCTGGTCTGCGAGAGGTCACGACACGGGTATCCAGTCAACATCACAGCCTCGGATTTAGATTCCGAACCCAACGCTGGCCCATATGTCTTTGAGCTACCCTCTTTCCCCTCTTCTGCCCGCCGTAACTGGACCATTTCACGCCTCAATGGTTAGACATGGAGTTTACATTTTACAAATTGAAAGTATTCAAGGCGTTTACCACTTCAACGGGTCATTTTTTTACTTCAGTTCATGCCTTTACTGTCAATTAAAATGTTTCCCTTCAGGTTAATACATCTAACGTTAATAGTGGATAGAAAAAGGATATTCTTTTAATATGTAAATATAGTTTCCAGTTAATATTCAAATAATTTACTTTGGCCCTAATACAGTGATAATATAAAAGCCAAATATTTAATTTGGGATTTAATTTTCTATCTCTCTAGGTAATTATGCCCAGTTGAAACTGCGGATCCCGTACCTGGAGGCAGGCATGTACAGAGTTCCCATTTTAGTTTCCGACTCAGGAAACCCTCCCCTGTCCAACACCTCAGTCTTGAAGGTGAAGGTGTGTCCCTGTGATGAAAACGGAGACTGTACTGTGATCGGGGCAGTGACTGTGGCCGGCCTGGGAACTGGAGCCATCATCACCATCCTCATCTGTATCATTATACTGCTCAGTAAGTGATGGATGGATCAGGCGAATAATAAATGAAGAGATAATTAAATCAGAGAATGCAACAAAACCAAATTTTCACAACATCAGTAAATTGTGATTAATACCCTTTCAACCCATCATTTAATTTTTGATTGAACTGTCAGTCAACATTTTCTCAGCAAGTCTCGTTAGAAATATGTACAGAAGTGCTATTCCCATTCAATGCATGTACCATTTCAAAGTTTATATGCGACTTCCAGAAAGTATTATAATATTAAAAGTATTATTATATTATATGTACACCACCGTACAAACATCTGGGGTCAGTAAGATTTAAAAAAAGCTTTGCCATCGTAAGATGGAATAATAAAAATAATAAAAATAAAAGTTTAAATTGTAATAATAAACCATAAATATATATATATATATATGTGCGTCAGAAAGTTTTTTGTTTTCTTAGATCATGTCTTATCTTGCCTAGGGCACTAAATGAGTCTGGACTGCCACTGGTGACCCCTCAAAATTAGAAAATAGGTGCATGACACCCCTGTATGTTTGTTTTTCTTTAGGTATGGTTCTGTTCTTTGTGGTGTGGGTGAAGCGAAGGGAGAAGGAGCGTCAGACAAAACCCTTATTGATCGACCCTGAGGATGACGTCAGAGATAATATTCTGAAGTATGATGAAGAGGGGGGAGGAGAGGAAGATCAGGTCAGTGTCACACACGTCATGCTGATATCGATTGTCGAGTCAAGGCTGTTTTGACATTTTCAGTCGTTTGCTGCTGCTTTGTCTGTTGCAAGAGCATTTCTGACCTTGTTTCAGACGTGCACTGGCATATTTTTATTTCTGTTGCAGGACTATGATCTGAGTCAGCTGCAGCAGCCCGAGTCTCTAGATCACATAATGAGCAAGCCTGCAGGTGTGCGGAGAGTGGACGAGAGACCCGTTATCCTAGAATCTCAGTACCCGGTCCGGCCCACGATACCACACCCAGGGGACATCGGGGAGTTCATCATTGACGTATGCTCCCTCTGTCTCTTATACGAAGATAATCTAGTTAGGCCTTAGGTTCACCTAATGCCTGCAGAGGGGCATAGGAAAGAAATACAGTTTTAATTTGCAACGAGATTGGAAAGCCATACTTAATTTGATTTCCTGATGTCCACTTATATTTTGGCAGAAATCAATCAGAAATTGTTTTTCATCAGTAATTTGAATCTTCCATCTGATCTTTACAATTAAATAGTCTGTTAAATAGGCTTCTGTGTCTTAAAGAAATGTACTTTGAGCAGGGAAAGGAATTAAGTTCTGAATCATTTCTGGAACAAAATAAGATTATAAATGAAACTCAGAGAAGAAAATGTATAAAAGGGTTAGATCACCCAAAAATGAAAATTCTGACATTAATTACTCACCCTCATGTCGTTCCAAACCCGTAAGACCTCCGTTCATCTTCAGAACACAAATTAAGATATTTTTTATTCATTCTGTCAGCTCTCTGACCCTCCCATAGACAGCAAGGGTACTACCACAATCAACATCCAGAAACGTAGCAAGGAGATCGGTAAAATAATCCATGTGGCATCAGGGGTTCAACCGTAATATTACAAAGCTACGAGAATACTTTTTGTGCGCAAAAGAAAAAAAAACGACTTTATTCAACAATTCGTCTCCTCTGCATCACCCTGGTGCCATTTTGGAGAGTATCCACTGAACGCAAACAGCGTATGTTGTTCTGTGTCAGCCGCACCACACGGATATGCTGTTTTTGTTCAAATCCAAGCACAAACAACGTAGAAAACATACGTTTCTGGACGTTGATCGTGGTAGTACCCTTGCTGTCTATGGGAGGGTCAGAGAGCTCTCAGATTCCATCAAAAATATCTTAATTTGTGTTCCGAAGATGAACAAAGGTCTTACGGGTTTAGAACGACATGAGGGTGAGTAATTAATGATGGAATTTTAATTTTTGGGTGAACTAACCCTTTAAATTCTGTGCTGAAAATTGACAAAGTGTGAAGTATTAAAATAATCAACAATACTGTTAGAAATGAACGTCAGCTACTCTTTCCCAACCTTGCACTGCTTTAAGATATGCAGAGTAGCAGGTTCTACACACAATCATAAACAGAAATTCACACATTAAATGTAATAATAGGAATAATCTCCTTATTTTCTTAACCATGAGTGTGCTGGTTTTATTTTAGTATACTTATATGCTATTATAGTATTTATAAATTTTATGAATTAGCTCTTTCTGTAATATTTTCAGTTTTCATTTTAGTTTGTTTTTCTAACTTTGTTGTGTGATGCTTTTGTCATTTTTATTCGTTTTTTTATGTTTCTATTTAAATAAATGTATTTTTACTTTTTTATATTTTTTTATTTTTAAGTTTTTCATTTAATATTTCTATTTTGCTATATTTTATTTCAACTTTAGTTTAAACTTTATTTCTTTTCAACTTTTGTTTACCAAAAAACTAGTTAACGATACTGAACTGGGCGAACAAAGTTTCTGGTCAGTCATTGACAAGTAAACGTGGATCGACATGTGTTCATCTGATCTGTCCTGATGCGAGTAAGAACCACAAAATGAGTCATTTTTGCAGCTCAATTTAAAAAAATGATCTTTTTCACTGAGCAGGAAGTTACAGTGTGTTTTCATAGTGCATCAAGGTCTTTCATCTCAAGCGATCAAGGAAAATGTGATTCCTCCTGATGTGACCTCTTTAAGCACTTTACAGCAGTGGCTTTCAGAGTGTTTTGTATGCATCTGTTCCAACAGCCTCATCTCATGTTCTCTCTTGCTAATATTAGGGTCTGCGTGCGGCAGATAATGACCCCACTGCTCCTCCCTACGACTCCCTGCTGGTGTTTGACTACGAGGGCAGCGGCTCCACAGCGGGCTCCGTTAGCTCCCTGGACTCCTCCAGCTCTGGAGAACAGGACTACGACTACCTCAATGACTGGGGTCCTCGCTTCAAAAAGCTGGCAGACCTCTACGGAGGAGGGGGAGAGGACTGAAGGTGGGAACTAGAGGAAGACGGAGGGGAACGGAGAGGGCCAGGAGGGACAATTGGCTTCTCGGATGTTTTATTGAGAAGCCGTACGCCAAGCCTCCGACATGGGCTGATTATCTCTCAACAAAAGGAGGATATTGCCCTGCAGCCTGCTCTGGACCTTTGCTGCAATCCACAAGTATTTTACGGCTTTTTACAATATTTCACGTTGTGGTTTCTTCAGTGTTGTTTTGTCATTCCTCTCGGACCGCCTAGAGGCTCAAGATGGAATCGAGTTGCGACGGAGACAGCGAACTCTCTGCGTGCGGGAATCAAAAAAATCGGGTGCACACGCTCGTTTTTCTGTTCGCTTTATCACTAAAGAGAGTTCCACGCACACTTTTTCTCTCAACTTGAATTTCAGTAGAACAGAAGCACTGTTGTTGATAAAGTGCCTTTTGTGGTGTGTTTTGTATCGGACTCCTGCAATCTCAGGGTCGGTTGCCATTTTGAAAAGTTTCTTCTGTTGGGCACACACTCCCCCGTTCCTGTCTGCTCCTCTCGACTACCTTTTGCTTTGCTTTCATCCCTGCATCAACGGTGCAGAACGCCTCTTTGACTACTATGTGGAAAACAAACAAAGGAAACAGAGAATGTTTTGTCAAGACTTTTGTTGATAAACACAGGACTCATTTTCTCTTAAGAAATCTCATTCTCCCTTGAGAAATTGGAGCGTATGAAGTACGAAAAATTCGAAAAATCTGAATTTTTTTTTTGTTTTTAAACTTGACCGACCATATAATGTTGTGTTGTGTAAAAAAAATCAAGATCTTTTTTTTTTTTTAAAGAAGAAAAAATATTACTGGAGAATGCCTTTTAGCTCATACTCTTGCCTGCCTTGTACGATTTTGTGTTGCTTTTCTGAATTGTAAAGGTAATTTAGGCATGACAAGTTGCCAGACAGTCAGACTAAAAGTGATGGCTGAAGAAACCCGACTCTAAAAGGATTGCATCAGAAGAAACCTTCTTTTTTGTCTTGAACATTCCCTTTTTCTAACTTTATAAGTTGATTAAAATATTATATGTGCATGACTTCTTTCAAAACAATGTCTCAAATCTCTCGCACTTGTTCCTCTGTGGTCAGAATGTGAAAAGTAGTTGGCAAAGAATATACACCATACGAAATAAATATAATCTGAAAAAAAATAAATTTTTAAATAAAAAAACAAAAAAAACAAAAAAAAGATTCAAATAGGTTTAAAATGCTGTAAAATACTTATTTTTTTAAACCTTTGCTGCTCTTCAAGCTCCAAGTTGGGTTAAATGACAGTGTCTGGGCCCGTTTGGTTTTAATTGTGTGTGAATGTGTGCAAGTGTATATTTGTCTATATCCTGTACGATTTTTTTAATTCTCTTTTTATATGTTTGTCTTTTGTATTTATATTTTTTTCTTAGGTTTTTATGTTTATTCTTTGGCTATGAGAAATGCAGCAGCGTTCTTTTGTCTTGTCGTGCTGAAGAAAGTCTGTCTCGTTCGTTCTGTCCCTGGATAAGGGTCTAATCCTGCACTGCAGAGAAGCTTACAATCACGCCTGCTCCACCATTCAGTGTAACTGATTTCTCTTTCCATTCATCTCAAATATTGGATGTGCTTTAGAGAATAAACAATCACATTTTTTTTTTTAAATGGGGGGAAAAAAAGGGAAAATTTCTCTGTCTCTGCCCTGTCCATAATAGGTTCATGTCTCTTTTCTTCTCTGTCATACTTCCATGTTTCTTTCAGCTGCTTGTCATAATGTTTTCTGGGTATGAGTGAGCATTGCATTATGCCATCAAGTGACAATTGAATTTAGCTGATATATTGAGTATGGGATTTCTGATTAAGCCATAAAATCAGGCCATTTTAAAATGGCAGCGTGATTATCATTAGAACATCTGGATTTCCATGCATTACCATTAAATTAACATTGACTTACCATAACTTTGGATGACTGCTCCTCCTACACGTTTACCTTCAGAAGCATTAATAATGAAGCACTCTGTCCAGTGATGACAACACTTACCTGATAGAAAGTTTCCAAGATTTTTCACGTTTTGAAATGAGCCATGAAGTTCTTTCCCATGACCCAGTGAGAGGTCAGTGCACTCAAAGGACATATGGCATAATTAAAACATAAGGCCCACCACTAATGACGAATCTCTGGGAGTGGATTAACGCTAAAGAGCATGCAAATGTATGAAATTACAGTTGGGTAATGAGATTAAAAATGTCATAAATGAATTCTTGAGAATGAGGTTTTTTTTTTTAAATGTCAATTTATGTCAGTATGAATCAATCGATTTGCAAGTCATTTTGTTGTATGCTTTATTAGGACTATCAGACAATTTAACATCATAATTGCATTCATTTCAAGATATATTAATTTGCAAGGAATATCTGCCGAGAAAAACAATGATGAAAGTAAATATTTCCATATCATGAAATCACCTTGCGATAAGTTACAATGGAGTTCTGTGTTACACCTAGGGATCATCCACTCTTGTATTCCATCGACAATATTTTTTAATTGTTAGACTATGTTAATATGCATTCGACAACTTTTGTCTGATGCGTCGCAACTTGCTGTTTTTTTAAAGCATCTTACGTCATGAGCGCCACTTTGTCTTTTTGTCATGATAAAAACACTGAAACTTTGGTGCATGATAATTTTTGTGGAATTGCTTTAAATCACCACTAAATTAACAGCCCTTATACAGAATTTATTTAATACAGTGAAATTTGTGATAAAATGAAGGGGAGTTTCATGGACTCTACAGCATGTGCATCAGCACATGCCACAGCTCATTTGGTTTTGATCATTTATTAACCTCTTGCCCATTTTAAAGACAGATACATACTGACAGTTTATCAGTGCTCTTCCATTTGTTTCAATCAGTACAACTCCAGCTCGCAGCATCCCTCTCTTTCTCTCTGCTTCTCTGTTACGCATTGCATACTAAGGTGAACATGTTCTGTTTGATCTATTCTTCATGTACCAAAATTGTGTATGAGTATCTCTCTGCGGTTTCAATAAGTCAGCACACACAGAGCGTGAGCAGAGACACCAGAGAGAGTGAGAGCTGTAGGGGATTGGAACTCTCTGCGGCCGTGTCTATCAATTAGTGCTCTGATTAATCCCTTGCTTTAATCTCATCAAGCAGAACACTGCTAATTACCCACAGACGAGAAGAGAGAGGGATGAAGAAAGAGTAAAACTATAAGAGCATGTGTCATTAGATGCAAGAAGGGGTGGTAATAGAGGAAAAGAGGGAGGAGAGGAAAAGGGAGCAAAAAGAAAAGCGGAGAGTGATCATACAAGATGGCGTCTTTAGGGTGAGATGTTGAACATCTATGGCTCTATTTTGTAGAACACGAAGTTTTGAATAGTGTACTGATGGAATGTACAGGCTAAAGTTTAATAGATGTTTTGTACAAGTTAATGGATTAAAGTAGGACTACATTTTAGGATTTCCAAACCTTCTGTACTAGTTGTACTGAAATAAGATTAAATCCGTGCTGAGAATAATAGTATTTAGGATGCTTGTAGTACAAAATAAAACTATTAATTAAAAGAAGTAATATTAGTAAACATTCTAGAGTATATTTTACCCAAAATTGACATTAAGCTATCTTAAATTATGTAATTTACTATTTAATAAGGCAATCAGTAGCAAATCAGTATATAACTTAAGTTAGAATTTACAGTGTAGAAAAAGATGAAAAGAAAAGCTGACCCTTACAATGTGCAAATACTAAAGCCCTAACAACAAGATGTATTAATACTAAAGTATTTTATTTTCATTACAGTCGATAACTGATATGGTGCTAGTTGCATTTGTATGTAACGCGAGCAAGTCTGCAGTGTGACACAAAGTGACGCTGGTTTAAGTTTCCCGGATGAGCAGACTGATATACAGCAGTGTCATGGACAACAGAAAATATTATATATAATAAATATTAAATATAAATACAGGGTTCATAATAGTACCACAAGAGTACATATTACTACTCTAAGGTACCAATATGCACCCTTTAGGGGTAAAGAAGTTACAAAGGTGTCCCTCTGAGGGTACTGCCCCAGTGACAAGCTGTTGTACCCCTAAAGGTTCCATTTTTTGCAAAAAAATTTTGAGAGTGTATAGAAAGAGAGTGTGATCGGTGGGAATATCTGCTGGATACCGCCCAATGATTATTCACGATTAGTTCTCTGAGTACTTAAGAACCAATCACTCTGATTTGTGAACAAATCAACTAGTCTAGTTTTTTAAATTAATTTCCTAGTCATTGTAATTACACAGAAAAGAAAGAAAAATTTTGAAGAAATAAAGGCCTGCAGGTTTGGAACGACATGAGGATGAGTAAAAGTTGATCGAATTTTCATTTCAGTGAAATATCTAGTAATAGCAAGCAGCTCTGGTAACACTTTATTTTAGGGTCTCTTAACTAGTTGCTTATTACTAGAATATTAACCATTTATTGGTACTAATTAAGCACATATTAATGCCTTTATTCTGCATCCCTAATCCTACGCAATACCTAAACTTAACAACTACCTTACTAACTATTAATAAGCAACAATTTAGGAATTTATTGAGGGAAAAGTCGTAGTTAATAGTGAATAAGTGTTCCCTATTCTAAAGTGTTACCGCAGCTCTTGTTTTTGTTAAAGAAAAGTGTTTAAAGGAAGCCAGCGATCAGATTAATTTCTTTTGTATAGGCGCTTCTCAGGCAGCCAAGCCACGGCGGCAGAAAAAATATATTAAGGCACTGATGGATTGTTCTTTCACAAATACAAACTTAAGAGGTGGCTTGCGGCCAACGTTGTGTATGTCATTAATAAAGTTTGCCCTTTCAAATACACTTAAACATATTTTTCATCTACTCAATAAAGGCCTAGATTTCCAAGGCCATGGACGAGAACAAATCAATTTGAAAATGATTTGGACAGTGTACATGTGCCTGCGTACATTATTGAATAGGGTGTCTTAATTGAATGTTTACAGGTAAGTGCTGAGAGCATCCAGAACAAACAAAATCACTCTACGGCTACGCTGTGCTGACTCAGCTATTCTAAAGTGAGACGCAAGTCAACCACAGAAAGTGTTTCAGCTATGTAAATGGAATGAATACAAAGGAGCCTTGCAGTTTATTTGTCAGTGTCTGCTGTAATGGCCGTCCATTTTTCGCTAAACCATCATTCAGCATTATAAGTACAGGAACTGTGAAGTAGATTGTAATATTTCATCAGCTCACTAATAGTATATGCAGTAAACAATGAAGATAGCATGTCAGTCTTAGACACTAAATTATAATTGAACAATTTACTTATATTTGGCATCTGGTAAATGTTTTGTTAACATAGCACTGAGATGGGTCTAGTCACTACTAGGGTGATGTTTTAAATCCTGAATCAGCAACATGACAATCCATACCAAAGTCAAAATGCAGCTGTAGCAGAACTCAGAAATCCCTCTGCGATGCTAAAGTTCTTCCCACAGTGGGTGTGTCTCAAGAGAGACAACTAATTGGCTGTGGCCAAACACACAATCTCAGTGGACCTGGATTCTGCTGTTGCGTGTATATATATTTCAGCTGGAAGATGTCATACTGTTCTATTTCAATAATATCATTCTGCTGAATCTGATGAATTGCATTTAATATATTTTGTGTTTTTGCGTGGTGCTGAGCGATTTGTCGATGGCCTACAAAAGTCAAGTTTGCAGAGTTTCAAGAACCAGGGAAAAAGCTTTTGGGTGAAGTCTTCATAGAAACAAAATGGTGTAATATGGGAATCATATTAGCCATGTGAAGTTGTACAGAAAAAAAACTGACAAAACTAAGTTTAAAAAGAGACATTTTCAGCAGATGAACAATGATGGTTGCTAGATGCTAGAATTTGTTTTGTAGCTATAAAATGATCTACAATACAGCTTATTACAGTATGTAGCACACCTGTATCTGCAAAGGCTTTTATTATCATGTGCAAATTTGGACACTGACAGATTTTATTGTTTCAAAATCCCCTTCCGGGGGCTGACATGTTCACACAGAATTTTAATATGGTGTGGGTTTTGTTTTAGAAGCCGTCACTGAGTCATCCAAATGGAAATCTCATTAGTATGATTACAGTG